GAATTTTACCAAATATTTAAAGGAGAATTAACACCAATCCTTCACAAACTTTCTTAAAACAATAGAAAAGAAGAGAACACTTGCCGGCTCATTCTATTAGTCCAACGTTACCCTGATACTAAAACAAGACAAAGACATTAGTAAGAAAAGAAAACTGCAGACCAAGATCCCTCATGCATATAAACACACAAATGGACAACAAAATACTAGCAAATCAAATCCAGCAACATGTAAAAAATTATGCACCAAAACCAAGTGAAATTTATCTCAGGAATGCAGTTGCTTTAACACATGAAAATAAATTGATGTAGTATACTATATTAATAGAATAAAGGGCAAATACTTCATGATCATCTGCACACGTGCATAAAAAGTTATTTGTCAAAATCCAACACCCACTCATGATTTTTTTTTTTAAAGAAAACCTCTCTATAAGCTAGGAATAGAAGGGATTCCATTTATATGTTATGTTCAGAGTAGGCAAATCCTTAAGAATAGAAACTGAATTGTAGGTGCCAGAGCCTGGAGTTAGGGAGGATAGAGAATGACTACTAATGGTTACAGGGTTTCTTTCTGGTGATAAAAATGTTCTAAGGTTAGATAGTAGTGATAATGCACAACTCTATACTAAAAACCATTGATCTGTACACTTTAAAAAGGGTATATTTTATATTATGTGAAGACAGGGGTGAGTGAGTAGAAGTAGTATTCCTATAGAGAGATGGTGGTAGCTTTAAGAGTAGTAACAATGGAGAAGAGTGAGAAGTCATTGGATTAGAGGTATCTTTGAGAGCCAACCAGACTTACTGTTGAAAGAGAGAAGTTGTGGATGAGACCAAGGTTTCTGGCCTAGAGGGTTGGAACGACAATCAAATACGTGCGATGGGGAAGGCTGCAAGTATGGTTGACTTTGGAGAGGAAAATCAGTTTTGTTTGGGACTTGATGAGTTTGAGAAATCCATCAGATAGTCAAGTGAAGCTGTCAACTAGGTAGTTGGATATAGGAGTCTAGATTTTAGAAGAAAGCTCTGGACTGAAGATAGAAATTCAAGAGTCCTTGACTACATGAAATAAATTATCAGGAAGTAGTGTAAACAAACAGAACCAAAAACTGAATGTTGGGCATTCCAATATCAACAGATTGAAAGGGGATATGAGTGAAGGATTCTGAGAAGCAATCAGTGAGGTTGGAATAAAATCAAGAGATTGTGGTATTTCAGAGACAAGTGAAGAAAGTGTTTCCAGGAGAAATTTTCCCTTGTTCTATACTCTCGTAGCATATATCATGTGTGTGATTGTATGTTTATTTGATTTTGCGTAGTATCTCTCTTTACTATCTTTACTCTCTTTACTACTTTACTTTCTTTAAATACATTCTCCCCTTTTGCTTGACTTTCAGTTTCTTCACTATGAACTGATTCCCTAGGCTTTCAGCCTCCCTCTGTCCATGGACAGTTTGGTCTCTGCCTTCACAAATGGCAGTGTCCATTCCTTATGAGTAGCTACGGCTATTCATGGCCATTGTTAATTTTGTTGAAATATTTTGGGAAAAGGCATATGTTCTACATGAACTATAGTTAGAAATGATTTGTTTATTCAACTATAAAGCACCTAATATGTGGCAGGCATTGTTCTAAGCACTAGTGCTATGACAGTAAACAGAAATGACACAGTACCTGTCTTTTAGCAAATTTAAATCCTGGTTGGGGAGACAAACCAAACACAAAACTAAAAACAAGTAAGAAAATATTAAGACATGAAAATAATGGCAAATTCTAAAAAGTCCTATAAAAAAATGAAGTGTGAGAGAAAATGAGAGAAGACAACTTACATTATATAGAGTGGATAGTGAACCTCTGCTCTGAGGAGAGAACATTAAGTTGAGACTTAAAGTCAGAGAAACAATTAACTAAGAATGAAAGAGAAGAGGTAATAGCCAATGGGAAAGCCCTGAGTCAGGACAGTGCTTGGTGTGACCACTAAATGTGATCAGGACTTGAGAGGGTAACTCATGGCAGCTAAAATGCAGAGACTGAGGTTGCCACCAGAATATCAATTCATTTGTTTGTTCTGTGGCTTGATCTGTCACATGAATCACAATATTGTAAGAGATTTTAACAATACAGTTCAACCCTGTTCTAAATCCACGTGGGAAAACAAAATATAACCAGCAGATACTAGCGATTGTCTGATATATTAGTATCATGAGAACTGAAGATAACCTATATTCGTATAATCTCATGGTCCCTCTCCTCGCCGCCCACTTCTTTTCTGGAAAGCCAAATCATAATCCAAGATTGTACTTTGAATATAGAACCCTGGAAAGTTATGTTAGATGTATCAGATATTTGCAGTCATCACACTAAAATATTTCACAAGTGCATGTTTACAGCTCTGTGCATCCATCCATACAGAAATCCTCAAAGTCTCCTTACCGAGCATCTCGTTCCCAATCTCAGATAGCTGTTGGGTATTCATGGTTAGGGTTTGCCTTGCTGATTTTCCTTTTTCTGAACTTCTATAGTAGAAGAATATCCGTTGCAATGCATACATTCTTTAACTATGTTTATGAAGTCAATAAACTATGAAGTCATTTTTTTGAGGTAACTTTGCATAGCTGTGTTCTATATCTTTAGTTGTTGCTCTCACTGCTTAGAGCTTTGAAGGTAATCGTATTTTTCTCTCTTTGGATTCATAGCTGACACCTCCCTGCAGCCACTAGGTACTGATAATACTCTCTCTTACTCTTTAGTTGCCACTTGGCATAGAGTGGATAGTCTTCATATCCTTAACATGAAGGTATTCACACATTTTTGTCATCTCTCTTCTCTCACTTGACTACTCCGGACTAAGAATAATTTCATTGCCTCTATTCGGGTGAAGACTAATTAATATTTTAATTTCTCTTCTCTGGAACATTTTAAATCAATATCTATAATGACTAAAGTTTTATTCAATTGTTTATTGAATAAATGTGATGGCATGATTGATTTGGTGTGAATAAGAAGAAAAAATAGACTTGAGTCTCTTTTTCATGATTTCTTTCTAAGAGCTTATATAATTCAGGTCCAGGACTAGCTACATAATTTGTGAGGCCCAGTCCAAGAGGAAAATGCAGGGCCCTTTATTTAAAAAATAATTAAGAATTTCAAGGGGGCAAAAACAGAACATTAAACCAAGCATGGGGCTTTGCTGAGCACGGAGTCCTATACGAGTGCACCAGTAGCGTGCCCATGAAGCTGACCCTGTGCAGGGCTTCAGGGCAGGTGGCAGCTGAGAATGAACTTTATCAATATATTTATGTTTCAAAAGAGTTTTATAATAAAATTTCATCAGTACAATTTTTAGAATAAAATAGTATATAAAATAAGAAAGTTGAGTGAATATATTTATTTGGAACACTGTATCTATGTTTTTGCCACAGAGTATTGCAGTGAATAGAAAAATGTAGTTAATGAGAAAACGCTTTTAGTTTCAAATTTGTGGTTGACTGTGTTATAATGCTTTGGTTTAGCCTGAGGGCTCAGGAGCCAGATTGCTTGGGTTCTAAAAGCTGGCTCTATCGACTCTACCAAGTGTGGGTCATTGGGCAGATTTTCTTACCTTTCTGTACATCAGTGTACACATACATTGGGATCATAACAGAAAATCTATCTCATAGGTTGGTCATGTAGATTATTATGTGTCAAGTCCTTTGAAGAGTAAGCATTCAAAGTCTACTCTGTTATTTAAAAACCTTTTTACTTTTTATTTTTGCATTTGTGGATATTATATCCCAGATTTAGTTTACTCTTTCTTTCACAGTTGTGAATTAATGTGCAGTATGATATTAAAAGTATTTCATGATGTTGTTTGTGTAGAATTACAAATTTGAGAGTTAGATGAGGCATTCAGTTCATGGTGATAGAAATTAATGATGTATTTTTTTTCCTTATAAGAACGTTAAACAGATATTGTTTTGTAATCTTTTCTTTGAGATTTTCTCCCATCGCCATTTGGCTTATTTAAAATCAAAGGTCTAAATCACCTGGTTAATAGAGCAATCCAGTTAATTGTGTTATAGTTAATAAGTCACATAACTTTAGAGTTTAATTCAATTCAATCTCAGCATTTCAGGCATTCTTAAATAGGTTTAAAGGCAAGCTTGCTAGGAAGTAATCCATTGTGATTAATGTATGTTATTTGCTTTTACTTTTATGTCACTGAATAATGCTTTCTATATTATTATGAATTACGTTTATTTATAATGATTAACAATCTGTTTTTGTGCTTTATTGAGAAGATATACTAATTTACAATACAAACTAAATCTCTACCATCATGAAATACCATCTGAAATATTTAGTTCAAAAATCAAATTTGGGGGGGCCTGCCTAGTGGCGTAGTGGTTAAGTTCGCATGCTCCGCTTCAGCACCCCGGGGTTCATGGGTTTGGATCCCAGGTGCGGACCTACGCACTGCTCATCAAGCCATCCTGTGGTGGCATGCCACATACAAAATAGAGGAAGATGGGCACAGGTGTTAACTCAAGGCTAATCTTCCTCAGCAAAAAGAGGAAAATTGGCAATGGGTGTTAGCTGAGGGCCAATCTTCCTCACTAAAAAAAAAAAAAAATCAAATTTAGGATTATATCAAATGGTAACCATACTAACTAGACTTTATTTTCAGTACTGGTGGTAAATTTATGGTAAACTAGTTCACTTAAGATAGTTTCTATTAAATTATTATTTCTGAGCAACACGCTTAAAAGAAAATGGGTATAGTTTCCAAGAAAGAATGTCATAATACTTCTAGGCATTTGGCATTTAGGATTGTGAGAACCTAAGAAATAATTGAGCAATATAGCCATTTTTTGTTAGTTGCATAAGTTTAAAAGAAAGTAAAAAGCAATATTCCTAAATATCACACAGCTTTCTAACCATGCCATGTACTTGACCACTTCTCTCTCCTGTGGTTCTCATTATGTAATATCTATATTCAATCTCTTTTTCTCATATCAGACAGCATCACTGAAGTCTTCACAAACATCTATGTGACCAGTTTTGGCCCTGTCTCAGACACAGATATGGTGAGTTTCTCGTTAAACATTACTTTTACTTCATATAATGGAAAGTGAGGATGGGGGTAATTTAGAATAAACAAGTATTTTTAGTTCTATAGAATTATGTATCTGTCTCATGCCTATTTAGTCTTCCCCAAAACACGGAGAGTTAAAGATGTTAATCTGTTTGTATCTGTGGTGCACTGTTCCAGCTTGAGTGTTCAGATTAGCCCTTATATTTTATATTCTTTTCAAAATTTATCTACCTAGCTACAGTGTGATAACAATTATTTAAATAAAAATAATTGTATTACTTAGAATCGTTTTCTAGGATTAAGGCACCTGCTTGAAATTCCATAAGTAAAGTCTATACAGTTTCGTAGGCAACTGCTTCTCATAGAACGTGATCATAGTCAGTGTTATAAATGGAAATTTTCTAGTGGCATTGAGGAAGGTGGGTGCCTTGTCATACTATCTACATATGTACAATACATACATTCCGCATACATAGTGGGCACATATACGTCAATCTAAAGAAAATTAGAATCTTGATATTCTTAGATTCTATGGAACTAGTGTTTATTTTTCTTTAAAATGAGTTGGTTAGGAGAGGGAAATTGGTCTAGTGGGTTAGAAACTGGTGGGCTAGAAACATCTTAGGTAAATTCTTGGTTAAGCATCAGAATTTTAGTCGTCAGTCTTCCATTTCTACTGCTAACTATAGTGCTCTGTTATAGAAATTTTTGTTGAAATAATTTCTTGTTCACCTTCCTTATTGCCCAAGAAGTGAGAATTAGAGAAGATTCCCTTGTCTCATCTTTGCCCATTCATCCTCCATTGTGTCATCATCCCCAATTTCTTTTCTTTCTTGGTAATCCAAGGAGAAGGTTGAGAAGTTTGAAGGTTTTCCCCTGGATAAACAAACAAAAACAAAAGGTTTTCCATTTTTGCAGACACTCATAAACATTATTAGCCCATTTATTGAGACCTCCATACCTTTTCTTTAGAGAGTAGAAATGCCACTTTTATCATTAAAAAAAATCCTCTATTTCTTCCATCAGAGCCACTTCTCTGACCACATAGTCCTTTTCTTGTATTGACTTGGCTGGCTGAAATATAGGTGGCAAGGGGGAGGTGATCCCCAACTTTCGGGAGGTGGTTGATACCAAACACTAATAGATCTTTGAAGTTTTTTCAAATTAGAATGTGAAGATTTAAGTGCTTCTTTTTCTCCCTCAAATCCAGGCCTTAGACACAATTCTAGAACAACAGGAAAAATTACACTCTTCAACATAACTCTCCCCCTCCCTGACAGTATCTTATATTGTGACCTGCAATATTAATATGCCTCTATCCATAAGTCATTAGAGTGTGTATTCCACTCTAAAAAGATGACAGAGACTTATTTACCAAGAGTGTGTATTCCAATAGTTATTGGTTGGCTGTAAAGATAATATTTCTGTGCAGCTTGTCTTAGTAAATGCTCCCAAATATTAGACGCAGTGAGAACGAGTGCCTAACTTCTACGTGGAATCAAGTGGAGAGAGTCAGAATTTTTTCAAGGACTACATTGACAAACTAACAGAATATCATATAAATAATGCTTCTTATATGTTTACCTATGGTGTCTTATTACCAGCCAAAACAGAAAGGCAAATGTTACAGGACCCCAAAATATCAAAGTTTTCAATGTTATGGCTTTTGTGTTGTGAATATTAGTGGTAATAGTTGCTATATTAAAATATTTGTGGTTCTTTTGCAAAGTGAATTATTTTGCCTCAAAAAAATAAAAACCAAAAAAAATACATATATACATATACATATGTATACATGTATATACATGTGTATAAAGATATATTTTTCCTAGACAGACAAAATATTTGTTGTTTGGGAGTTTTAGACAAACTCAGGTCATGTATGTTTGGCAAAATGTATGAAGTGATTTTTTTTTCAGTAGTGGTAATGGATTAGACTAATCTTCCACCTCTTCGTTTTGACCATTCTTTGAGATTATTAACACCATTTAAAAAGCTGAAAACCTGAAAACTTTGGTCTCTTCGGTGAATTTAGCCCTAGAACTTTTACAAATTTTAGCAGGCTAAAGATATGCTTTCTGATTTGGGGAGACCCTACCACACATTTTATAAACATTAAAATGTACTTATATTCTGAATTTTATGTAAGTTGAATTGAGCTTAGTAGCATTATAATTGGCAACGTTTAAATTAAAATTTAACTTACTTTAATTTTTTCATTTGCTTTTTCTATTTTGGAGTGTATGTGTGTGTAAATGTGTACATGTGTGTGTGCATGTGTGCCTATATATGGAGATATTCCCCAAAATGAAATACATATTTAACATCTCAGTAGGATCTTTGAATGCTTGAAGGCCTTAGATGTTTTTCTAAAGAGACATTTCCCTTGAATCACCTAGCCTAACACAGTCCTATAGAATTCTCTTTGGTCGTGTCAGATTTTCTACTTTATTTCCATCTTTATTCATCTTGTGTACTCAGTCTTACCAGTAGTTGGCTTCGAGGAAGTCTAATTAATTGCAAGACCACCGAGTGGGCACATACTCTGTCATCAGAATCCAGTTAGAGGAAAGGATCCATAACAGTACTTTGAACAGGGAAAATCTAATATAATGAATTATTAACTAATACAAGGTGGTTAAATAATAGAGCAGGATAAAAGAAGACTCCAAGCAAAACAGAATTAGCAAAATGCAGAAGGCTGCATCTACTTCTAGGGGTGAAGCATCATGAACAAGGAAGGAACTTAGGACTTGGAAGAGAGTCTTTCCTCCCAGGGCCAAGATTCAGACCCACCAGAGTGGATGTTGCTGCTACAGGAACGTGCCACTGCTGTAGGGGAAGAGACGTGTGAAGGTAGCCAGAAGACAGTCCATAGGATCAGCCTGCGTGGGGGCTGAAAACTCACGCTAGTCCTTTGAAACTGTGCCAAAGAATGAAAATGCACCTGAACCAGGAAGAGAACCAGAAAGAAAAGCCCCCTTCTCTTGCTATGACATCGGAGTATCCTTCCACCATCCTCTATTGACAAGGCCTAACATTGTGTGAGCTGGCATAGGAGCCGTGTTTACAGAGTCCCTCCTTGTATCATAAAGAAGGAGAAAGGAGGGTGGATCTGGAGCTGGGAGTCGATACACTGATAATTGATATACGCAACAATGTGTGATATGGGGCAGATTGTGAGTGAGAGTCAAGAGATAGTTTGATCACTCAACAGGTACTGTTTGATATTTGTCCAAATCTAAAGAAGATGAAGCTGGGGAAAATGAAAGCTGAGAAGTGTATATACATATATAACACAGACACAAACACACACACTTACTCATATTGTAAATTTATTGCAGAAGAGAGAGCTCAATTTAAAAACATGTATACATTTTGTGAAGAGAAGTAGTTTGGTCTTCACAATGATCAAATGGAGTGTTTTTTAATCTCAATATTACTTTTTCTGCAAAGCAAGATAAATAATGAGGAAAAGATTTAATTTATATTAGTATATATGGCCAGGTCAAGAAATGAAACTTGAATGTGACATTCTAAAGAAAAAAATTTATGATGATGTGGAGGGAAAACTCACCCATATTATTGTTACCCATACGTAAAAGTGGATATGAAGATATCTAATTCATGTCTTACAGAAGCAATTTGGTAATGGGAAAAAAGTAAAGAATAAATTTAATTTCACTTTTAGTAGCTTAGCTGATAAACTACTTATTTCTTATTTCTGTGCAGTGTGCATACTCAGTAGCAAGGCCTAAACCCCTAAGTCCTCCTGTTCAGGTCAGTGATGTAGATTTGTTGTGACATTAGCCTGCAAGGAGAAAGCAGCATAGCAAAAAGAATTAAGAACCAAAAGAACAAACACACACACACACACACACACACACACACACACTGCTGTCTCAGAAACATTAACCAGTGTAATTGTCCAAAGAAAGTTGCAGATCTAAATTATAATTAAAGATTCTAATTACAGTGTCTGCAATTAAGTTTAAAAATCTTTTATTTCAACATTTAAAAATTCATGAGTAAGAAGTAATTAAACTTTGGAATGTACTAGTAGCTGACGATTGACAAAGTGTGGGTAGGGGTGTGCATTTTAGCAATTTATAACTCACTCCTGTCTTTTGTTTTTTTCCTTGGTTTCTATATAGGATACCTTTTCCCATATTTGTAAACATTTTCACTGTGTATACATATTCTTCAGGCGTAAATGGTATAGCCACCAATTAATGAACCGAAGCCTAGACTAGGAACTTCAGCTCAGATGGTTCTGTCTTACAGTGCTAAGTGTTAGGGTTAGAACTTGAACAATGGAAACTTTGAAGTTATCTCAAGATTTCTGATCCACAGTTTACCCTTAGGCTATTAAGAAATGGGCAGTCAGGTAAGTGATAAACTTATTGATCATATCAGTCACCTTTGTTAATACTTTTCTATCTTTTGAAAACACAGAGTGCATTATCTCTTAGACACTCCAGAAGCTATTGGGATATTATGTAGTTTGGTAGTTAATATCATAGGGCGGTTAAGCGAGTTATTAGATCTTGATATTTGTTCGAAAATTGACACTGGATTTAACTGTTAACCCCGACCAGAAGTTGTCATTTGTAAATGTAGGTAGATAAGGAAGACTGCCACAAACATGACAAACACTGTATATCAAAAGTAAAGTAATAATGTTTACCTACTTTAAAGCTGGCATGTGGAAGTTGATTACGGGAAGGTTATTGATGTTTTGGAAGGGTATGAATTAGATTTGAGGAACGTTAATTCATTCAGACAATATTTTTCAGCACCCTCCTAGGGTTTTCCATAATATTCCTCAAAATATGATTCATGGACACTTACACTGGGATCACTGGGAGTTATTTATTAAAACAGTTATTTCTTGGGCTCCTTCTATGATCTGTGGAATCATAATTGCTAGTTGTAGGACACGACAGTCGGCATCTTAACTTGATGATATTTGACTTTATGCTGAGGGCAGCA